AAGATAATTGAAAATAATAAACAGTTAAAACATGCTGACATCAGGTATAGTAATAAGATGCATGAGTTGCCAATACAGCGGTAAGCAAAAGAAGCCTGGGATGGGCTCCAGATAGGTCAGGTGGGTGAAGCATTTCTTTTAGGTTGGATTTAGATCTGGGGAATTTGGAGGCCAAGGCTTCATCAGACCAAGCAACCTTCTTCCATTGGGCCAGTTTTGAATATCTTCAAATCCTCATTGAAAGTGCTTTTGGATGTGGACAGGAGTCATCATGGGCACTCTGACTGGTCTGCATCTATGCAGCCCCATATGCAGCAAACTGAGATGCACTTTGTGTTCTGATACCTTTCTATTATGGCCAGCATTAAGATTTTCACCAATTTTTCACAACATTAGTTATTTTGTTCGATCAGGCCACACGTGGTAGCCTTCACTCCACATGTGTGTCAATGATGAGGCTTGGGTGCACATGACCCGCATTCTGGTTCACTGATAGTCCTTCCTTGCACCACTTTTGGTAGGTACTAACCACTGCATACCAGGAACACCCCAAAAAACTTGCTGTTTTGGGGATGCTCTATTTAGCCCTTGTCAAACTCCTTCTGAAAGTCACTCTGTTCTTTTCGCTTGCCCATTTTTCTGCTTCCAACACATGAAATTCAAGAACTGAATTTTCACTTGCTGCATTATATATACACCTCTTGATAGGTCTCCCTTCAACGATAGAATCAATGTTATTCACTTCACCTATCCGTGATTTTAATGTCTGATCAGTATATATCCCTGGAACAATACACACACAAAATAGTTACATCCTACAAGGCTACTTAAAATTCACTTAGCAAACAAATAAAGGGATTTGGTTACAGCATATGGCCATACTGTGTCCAATGCTACGGTATGGATATATGGTGTAACCAAAGCCCCATATTTGGTTACTAAGAGTGGTGATTTTAAGTAGCCTTGTAAAATTTAAAGCTTAATTTTTTTGTTGTGCTGTTCCTTTAATTTGTATTTTGCATATATTCTGGTCTTTACAACAACACCACTGTGAAAAAAATGTAAGTTTTGTGAAAAAAATGTAACTCCCTTTTCTACTGAAGTGGTTAAAGTGTCACTGCAGTGAATGCGGTAAAGAGGACTAAAACTTCTCCATAATATGCATCACTGAATAAAATATTGAGTTGCTGAATGTGATTGGTGATGGAATGCAGGCTGGGCCTTCACCTCTGGGTTTTGGTGGAGTAGCTGGAGAGTGTCCTTTTTGCTGAGAGCCCTGCTGGGCCAGGATGCTGCTGCGTTCAGCATACCAGTATTCAGGGATATGTGATGCTCAATTCAGACAAGTTGCCAGCAGTGGGAGAGACATTTGGGGACGCTTGTAAAGCTACACTGGAACTTTATTGGCAAAGTGGAGGTGCAGAATGCTATTGGCCAGGGAGCTCTTGGGGGGGAAGGGGGGTCAGAGCTGATCAGGTAGATTTCCAAGTGCAGGTTGTGTCACTGATGATTCTGTAAAGTGTCCGGATTGCCACAGTTCTGCTGATCCCATGCTGTCTGTTTCTATAACATGGTCCTCAGGACTTGTTATTCTGTTGTCATATAGTTTGCTGGGCCATTGCACTGTGCCATTGACGTATTTGAATGGTGGGACAGGAGTTCAATAGTTTAGTGTGATGTGTTTATGTTTATTTTATTATTATTTTTTTTATGATTTGTGCTTAAATTTTCTCATTTTAGTGGAACAAAGCCGCTCCTAGACAGGATTCACTTTCTTATGGTGATAAGTGATATTCCACTAGATGCACATGCTAGGATTCAGATCTTCCGGTTTGCCCATGGCAAATTTTTGTTTGCTCACCAGGGCAAACAATTAGATCTTCACACAGGATATTACCGGTCATGTCCGATACAGGGAGTGCAGAATTATTAGGCAAATGAGTATTTTGACCACATCATGCTCTTTATGCATGTTGTCTTACTCCAAGCTGTATAGGCTCGAAAGCCTACTACCAATTAAGCATATTAGGTGATGTGCATCTCTGTAATGAGAAGGGGTGTGGTCTAATGACATCAACACCCTATATCAGGTGTGCATAATTATTAGGCAACTTCCTTTCCTTTGGCAAAATGGGTCAAAAGAAGGACTTGACAGGCTCAGAAAAGTCAAAAATAGTGAGATATCTTGCAGAGGGATGCAGCACTCTTAAAATTGCAAAGCTTCTGAAGCGTGATCATCGAACAATCAAGCGTTTCATTCAAAATAGTCAACAGGGTCGCAAGAAGCGTGTGGAAAAACCAAGGCGCAAAATAACTGCCCATGAACTGAGAAAAGTCAAGCGTGCAGCTGCCACGATGCCACTTGCCACCAGTTTGGCCATATTTCAGAGCTGCAACATCACTGGAGTGCCCAAAAGCACAAGGTGTGCAATACTCAGAGACATGGCCAAGGTAAGAAAGGCTGAAAGACGACCACCACTGAACAAGACACACAAGCTGAAACGTCAAGACTGGGCCAAGAAATATCTCAAGACTGATTTTTCTAAGGTTTTATGGACTGATGAAATGAGAGTGAGTCTTGATGGGCCAGATGGATGGGCCCGTGGCTGGATTGGTAAAGGGCAGAGAGCTCCAGTCCGACTCAGACGCCAGCAAGGTGGAGGTGGAGTACTGGTTTGGGCTGGTATCATCAAAGATGAGCTTGTGGGGCCTTTTCGGGTTGAGGATGGAGTCAAGCTCAACTCCCAGTCCTACTGCCAGTTCCTGGAAGACACCTTCTTCAAGCAGTGGTACAGGAAGAAGTCTGCATCCTTCAAGAAAAACATGATTTTCATGCAGGACAATGCTCCATCACACGCGTCCAAGTACTCCACAGCGTGGCTGGCAAGAAAGGGTATAAAAGAAGAAAATCTAATGACATGGCCTCCTTGTTCACCTGATCTGAACCCCATTGAGAACCTGTGGTCCATCATCAAATGTGAGATTTACAAGGAGGGAAAACAGTACACCTCTCTGAACAGTGTCTGGGAGGCTGTGGTTGCTGCTGCACGCAATGTTGATGGTGAACAGATCAAAACACTGACAGAATCCATGGATGGCAGGCTTTTGAGTGTCCTTGCAAAGAAAGGTGGCTATATTGGTCACTGATTTGTTTTTGTTTTGTTTTTGAATGTCAGAAATGTATATTTGTGAATGTTGAGATGTTATATTGGTTTCACTGGTAATAATAAATAATTGAAATGGATATATATTTGTTTTTTGTTAAGTTGCCTAATAATTATGCACAGTAATAGTCACCTGCACACACAGATATCCCCCTAACATAGCTATAACTAAAAACAAACTAAAAACTACTTCCAAAAATTTTCAGCTTTGATATTAATGAGTTTTTTGGGTTCATTGAGAACATGGTTGTTGTTCAATAATAAAATTAATCCCCAAAAATACAACTTGCCTAATAATTCTGCACTCCCTGTATTTCATGGGGACACTTTCCTCCTATGGGGACATTTTCCTACACTCCTATCGGTGACACTTTCCTACACTCCTTCCTCCTATCAGGACACTTTCCTATACTCCGTACTCTATGCATCTTCATTTCTCTCTCCCTATTTGGCTACTCAATCCTCACTCTTTTCCTAGTTGGCTACTCAATCCTTCTCTATGGTATATGACTTCGTAACTCATATACTAAGCGTGATATTTTATTGTCATAAACATGTATTTCTGACATAGTGTAAAAATCACAGTTTAGGTTCCCCCCTCTCCGTGGTCATTAAAGGAAAAAAACTTTTCACACAGGCCGTGGCGGACTCACCGCAGCTGGTCCTGCCTCCATTGCTGAAACCAATCTTAATGATTTCAGCCAATCCAATGCTTTCCCCTAGGAAAGCATTGGGAGACAATTGCGCATGCACAGAAAAATATCATGCCGCGGCAATCAGCACCACCTCATAGAGATGTATTAAATCAATGCATCTCTATGGGAAACATTCAGCACCTCCACGCAGAGCGTGAAGATGCTGAACATTAGTGGGAGTTTTGTGAAAAAAATGTAACTGCACTGGACTAGAAAGCACTGGACTAGAAAGCACCTCTAGTGGCCATTTGATTGATTGCCTCTCAAGGTACCACTAGGCACCACTGTAATCACTGCAGCCACTACATTAAGCTGTAGTGGCTCTAGTGACTACAGTGTCCCTTTAATATGGTAACGCCCAAGGTCTTCCTACTGGTATGTCTATATGCCATATTCTTAAGCCATCTTTTTAAACCCAAGACACGAATTAGTGGAGTGTTAATGGATACAATATATAACTTATTAACCAAGTATACTACCACTATTTTATAAAATACTGTATTTCTCTCTTTAGACCTTAACATATCATATTGTTGCAATCTGTACCAGTTGATATTTGCATGACACATCACCCTGCTGCTTATATGTACATGCCATTTTATATTAATGTTGTTCATAACATGTAATACCTATTAATAAACCATGAATTACAAAAAAGCTATAAAAAAGTGATACCACTTTAAAATTAAGAAATCTATGACTCCACATCTATAACCATGAAAGTCTAGACCTGATAAGGCTACTAATGACAAGCAAAATGGGTAATAAACAGCAACTGATGCCCAAGGACAAATTAGGGATCGACCGATTATCGGTTTTACCGATATAATCGGCCGATATTCGGTATTTTCGGCAATATCGGTATCGGCCAGTTCAGATACCGATATTGCCAATAATACCTCCAAGGACTGCCAGGCTCTTTACAAACCCAGCGGTCCTGGGGCTTGCTGCCTGCTCCCTCACAGCTCAGCCAATGCCACTGGACCAACAGGGAATGCTATATCCCCCCTCCTTGGCCAGGCAACAAGCAGGGAGGGGGGGGGATAACAAAAATAATAATAATTAAATATAAAAATATAATAATTTAATAAAAAATGCCCCCTCACACACACTCCATTATATACACATACACTACACAAACACACTGTGTATATAATGCAGTGTGTTTGTGTAGTGTTTATATAATGCACACAACACAAACACACTGCATTATATACACACACACACACACTATACAAACACAAACTCCATTATATACACATACACTACACAAACACACTGTGTATATAATGCAGTGTGTTTGTGTAGTTCGTTTATATAATGCAGTGTGTGTTTGCATAATGCAGTTTGTTTGTGTAGTGTGTTTATATAAGGCACACTACACAAACACACACACTACAAACACACTCTGCATTCATTATATACACACACTACACAAACACTTTGCATTTAGTATATACAGCATCCACTACACACACACACAGACTACACAAACACACTGCATCCACAACACACACACACTACATCCACAAACACACACTGCATCCACAACACACACACACACACACACTGCATCCACAACACACACACACACACACAATCCACACAACACACACACACTGCATCCACAACACACACACAACACACACACACACTGCATCCACAACACACACACACACTACACAAACACACTACATCCACAACACACATACACTGCATCCACAACACAGACACTACACAAACACACGCTGCATCCACAACACAGACACTACACAAACACACGCTGCATCCACAACAGACACTACACAAACACACGCTGCATCCACTACACAGACACTACACAAACACACACTGCATCCACAACACACACACTACACAAACACACACTGCATCCACAACACACACACTACACAAACACACACTACATCCACAACCACACTGCATCCACAACACACACTACACAAACACACACGGCATCCACAACACACACACTACACAAACACACACTGCATCCACAACACACACACTACACAAACACACACTGCATCCACTACACACACACACACACACTACACAAACACACACAGCTCCTCTGTCTAAACACACTGCATCCACTACACGTGGCATGTATATTTTGTGCATTTACCTTTTAATTTTCCAAAATGGTAAATGTACAGAATATAGGCAAATTATATCGGCTATTGGCCTGAAAGTTCACAGAATATCAGTATCGGCTCTAAAAAATCAATATCGGTTGATCCTTAGGACAAATGACAACATACTGGTGCAGACGTCTAGTTTATTAGACTAACAATGCCATTTACATCATTGAGATGTTGAATCATCCACAGTATTTTTTGCTCTGACAAACAGAAAAATAACATCTCCCAATGCCCACTAATCCATATGCCAAGATATGAATTTTTTACAAAATATATTTTTTTATTATATGAAAATTATTGCCAAAAAATATACATACAAAGATATCAGCAGTGCAAATGTAGAACAAATTACCACTACAAGTAATTTAGATTAAATAGCTGTGCAAATTTTCATGTAAACTATAACAGCAGGAGTTAATATTTTACATCCGAATATATAATTCAGTAAGGTGAAAAATTAAATTAGGAACAGACTTGGAGGTAGATAAATACACACAATCTATAAAAGTATGCATAGGTTACAGTTCAATTATTGCCTTGCTTTTTTGTATTCTACGCTAGGAGGTTAATGCTTCTATGGACCTTTGAAGTTCTGGAAAACATCTGCCCCTTCTAACCATGATGACAAACAAGCAATCCCCCTCTCTTTTATCTGTTTCCTTCCTTTGTCGGTAATCACTTCTCCATTTGGTTTCACAATCACCAGTTTTGGTAAAGCTGTTATCTTGTACTGGTTCTTCAATTCACTGGAAAAGAAAGAGAAAATGATTCCAACTCAAAGTCATGAATTGTATAGCAATACTTAATATCAGATAATCAAATTTATATTAAAAAAATCCATTACATATGATATGTTTAAAGTGGTTATAATCGCCTCCAGTCACTATTTAAGGGAACACTCCAAACACCTTAAGCACTAACTTGTTGAGGTGCTTTATGTGTGAAGAGTAGGCACTAATTTCTGCTTGAAATACTGCGCACGAGAAAAATATGAGTGGTCTCATTAAAGGTCAGAGGCCTTAACTCACCAGAAAAATCCTTGCTAGTACCCTCTGAATTTCACAAACCAAAAACTGATTATGACAAATGTCCCTTCCCACGTACATTTGCTACGGACTCCTGAAGGAGTGTGAAAGCCGGCCTCCTGCCCACCAACTATGGTCCAGGTCTAAGACACCATTGGGGAGTTACCCTGCCCAGCTGCCATTAGCAGCTTTCCCTGGGTGCCTCTGGTTTGGCACTTTCCCTTCATTCGAATGAAACCGAAAGCTAGCTCTCTGGTGGCCATTCGCATGAACCAAACCCACAAACGGTCCTCAGCGGTACTTAGCCGCGACCGCTATGGAAGAAATTTTGGCATGAGGAATTTGTGGGTCCCGCTCACCTCAGCAGGACTTAGCCAAGAATGTTATGGCTTGAAGGTTATTTTCGGCATGAAGTGAATGTTATGGCATGAATGTTATTTTCGGCGTGACGTGACCGTGCGGTTCCCGGACAACTTGGTCTGGGCTTTTGAATCACTTTGATTTTATGTTTTTGTTATGTTTTGGGGTACTTTTATGGTTTTATATTTTGTGTTGGCTCTCTGTTCCTGGGAGATAATTAACTTACCGATCTTTAACACAATTATCTCCCAGGCACAAAGATTCCTGCGAGGGACTTGTGTTGAATACAATGGAGATCCCCTGCTGTGGTCTGTGCATAAAAGGCAGAGTTTGGTTTATTAAAATCAGTTGTACTCCTATTAGGGATCGACCAATATTATTTTTTTAGAGCCGATACCGATAATCTGTGAACTTTCAGGCCGATAACCGATAACTTACCGATATTCTGTACATTTACCATTTTAAAAAAACCAAAAAACTATTTCTACACTGGAATTACCAACTCACCTCCATTTGTAAATTGAGTTTTATAATTGATCATCCATTCAAGAATGCTCAGATTTCATTTCTAAACACCAAGAAAATGAATTGATGAAAACTATTTCACTAAAACACATTGGTTTTGAACTGTAATCTGACCTGCATGCATACTTTCTTATCTGTTATCTACAATGCAGCCTGAAATGCAAAATCTCAGACCTCACCCTGGCCTGAATCCTATAGAGCAGGGCAATGTAACCAACCCCCACTACTAACATCCCTACAAAAGCTAGAAGCTATTTTAACTCCTTCACTGCTGAGGTAATAATCACCAATACTCCCTCATATCTGTATTCCCTCAGAACCCAAAAAGCGATCGCTGCACTCAGTCCCTTGCTAGTGGTTACCCTAAAATCACTTGGCATCTTCACTGATAGGGGCTGTTGTGGATGAAAAATCTAAACTTAAAGTTCAATCTCTTGACACTATCACAGCTGCTCCACCACCGTGTCTACCTGCAAGTCAAACTGAAGTAATTCAAGCTAGAAGCCACAAAAACTGCACGATCAAATCAAGGAAACCTCTTTGTGTGATCCCCATTAGAAGACACACTAATTCCAAAGTACAGAGCAAAAACTCAGAATCCCAAGACTGTCCTATCAGATCAATCCTGTGCAATGCCAGATCAATAAGGAACAAAATAGCCATTATTGCCGACCTTATTGAAACATGCAAATTAGTGTGGATTACAGAATCAAGGCTAGATGAAAAAGCGGGGCTGATTCTAGAGGCAGCTATCCCAGACAATTACACAGTGTTCCACCGCCCAAGACAAGATCGCAAGGGAGGTGGAGTTATGATCTATGTGAAATCATGCTTAAATCCCAAACCAATATCAGTCCACAAACCCCAATCTTTCAATAGATAGAGGACTTCTGGATTTTGTTAATATACAGACCCCCAGGAGATGGGAAGAGATTTCTTCAGGAACAACCCAGATGGCTTATATTTGGCGACTTCAACAATTGGATTGATGACACCCTGATTGGGCAGGATCTTCTCAGCTTGATGAGTGCACTCGGCTTCACACAAATCGTCGCCACTTAAACCCACAGAAAAGGTCATACACTTGATCTAGTGTTCCAGTCTGGCCAAAAGTGTCACCAGTAACTGTAAATCCAGTTGTTTGGTCAGACCACCACTCCATTCACTTCTCCATTGTATCACAATCAGCCAGACCCCAGCCTCAGAACCTGGTGAAACACCGCTTAAAAGGGGTGACGCCATTGGATGTAACATCACATATGGATCTAAGAGAACTAATGGGCACCTGTGAAGAACCCAGCTAATTAGTCCAACTCTTATCTCCCAGGCACAAAGATTCCTGGGAGGAACTTGTGTTGAATACAGATCCCCTGCTGTGGTCTGTGCATAAAAGGCAGAGTTTGGTTTATTAAAATCAGTTGTACTCCTAGTAGGGATCGACCAATATTATTTTTTTTAGAGCCGATACCGATAATCTGTGAACTTTCAGGCCGATAACCAATAACTTACCGATATTCTGTACATTTACCATTTAAAAAAAATATATATTTCTACAATGGAATTACCAACTCACCTCCATTTGTAAATTGAGTTTTATAATTGATCATCCATTCAGCAATGCTCAGATTTCATTTCTAAACACCAAGAAAACGAATTGATGAAAACTATTTCACTAAAACACATTGGTTTTGAACTGTAATCTGACCTGCATGCATACTTTCTTATCTGTTATCTACAATGCAGCCTGAAATGCAAAATCTCAGACCTCACCCTGGCCTGTATCCTATAGAGCAGGGCAATGTAACCAACCCCCACTACTAACATCCCTACAAAAGCTAGAAGCTATTTTAACTCCTTCACTGCTGAGGGAATAATCACCAATACTCCCTCATATCTGTATTCCCTCAGAACCCAAAAAGCGATCGCTGCACTCAGTCCCTTGCTAGTGGTTACCCTAAAATCACTTGGCATCTTCACTGATAGGGGCTGTTGTGGAGGAAAAATCTAAACTTAAAGTTCAATCTCTTGACACTATCACAGCTGCTCCACCACCATGTCTACCTGCAAGTCAAATTGAAGTTATTCAAGCCCCTTAACTCTACAACAAAACCATGAGAGACTCCCTAGAAAACATTGCACCAACATGCATATGCACTGTCAAAACCCACAACAATGCACCGTGGTTTGATAGTACCATCAGAGAAATGAAGAGAACAGGCCGTAAACACGAGAGAAAGTGGCGCAGGACACATGATCCAGAGGATAAAGCTGCTCTTACCAAACATCTAAATGAATATCAATTCAAGATAACTCAGAAAAAAAATCTTCATTTTTATCACACGAAATTGCACTCTCCCACAATAGACCCAGGCAACTGTTTTGCACAGTAGAAAGGCTCGGCAAACCAGCATGCATGCATATCCCCACCAACCTTTCTCAGGAGAAGTGTGAAGCATTTGCAATCTTCTTCAGAGAAAAGATTTCCTCAATACAAGCCTCTATCACAGCAGGCCAAACAGTTATACACCAGAACCACTACAATGGAATGCCAGATTGCCCCAGTTAATGGTCCGCTTTTACAAATGTGGATATAAAGGGAGTTTATACCATGAGAGGCTGTCTTCACCTTAAATGTAAACATAGCAGTTTCTCTGAAACTGCTATGTTTGCATCTGAAGGGTTAAAACCTGAGGGACCAGGCACCAGGCACCCAGACCACTTCATTGACCTGAAGTGGTCTGGGTGACTATAGTGTACCTTTAACACTCAACACCCCTTCCGAATTCTACCCAAGCCCACATTATACCAATACCCGAGTCAGGAAAAGACCCCACAAACTGCTGTAGTTATTGACCAATTTTCTTGACCAAAATCTTCACGAAAACAGATTGCGCCCATTTCTTAAGAGGCTAGTCCACTCTAATCAGGCAGGCTTCATATCAGAAAGAGAGGAAAACATAACACAACTAAGTTGTTGAGTCTTATTCATCTCTCATAGTTACGCCGAACTCAATGTCTTAATTTCAAAAGACGCTGAAAAGGAATCTAATAGGGTGGATTGTTCCCTACTCTTTGCAATTCTTAGAATGATGGGATTTGGCACCAATTGGCTACAATGGATGACTTCCCTATACTCCACACTGAGTGCCAGGATTAGGATAAATGGCCAACTCTCTGACTCAGTCCCCCTTTCCCTTCTCCTCTTTCTCCTCATTATGGAGCCCTTCTTACAAGGGATCCGCAATAACCCCAACATACACAGATTTACAATACAACACCATGAACTTAAGTTATTTGCCTTAGTGTATGACCCACTCTTCACTATAATGGATTTATTAAAGGACCACTATAGTGCCAGGAAAACATACTCGTTTTCCTGGCACTATAGTGCCCTGAGGGTGCCCCCACCCTCAGGGACCCCCTCCCGCCCGGCTCTGGAAGGGGGAAAGGGGTTAAAACTTACCTTTTTCCAGCGCTGGGCGGGGAGCTCTCCTCCTCCGATCCTCCTCCTGGGCTGAATGCGCAGGAGGGGGGCCCATGAGGTTGGGGGGCACCTAATAACCCTATAGTGCCAGGAAAACTAGTTTGTTTTCCTGGCACTATAGTGGTCCTTTAACTGCTTTACATTTTATTTTCCCTTCACTATTATTTGTAATGTCTAAAACTTTACAAAAAAAAATGGGTTAACCCTAGCTGGACCTGGCACCCAGACCACTTCATTAAGCTGAAGTGGTCTGGGTGCCTAGAGTGGTCCTTTAAACTCCTCGAGGAAATTTCCCTTTACAGCAAGATTTAAAAATTCCAAGTTAACTTTACTAAAAGTGAAATACTGCCATTACTCATAGACCAATACACTCTTGCCACATTAAAACAACAGTTC